AGATCTGACCTTCAAAGAGAATATTGAATTGACTTGGGGAAGGAAAGATATAACTATCTCTGCTTCTGACCTTTCAGTGATGTATCACCTCTGAGCAGTAAGTGATATCAATGGTTTTGTGTCGTTATGATGTGCCAAGTACATAATGTCAGTGTACCCGCCTCCAGGCATTTTAGGTAGTCTGTGCTGGACACGTGGACTTCACCTTATCTCCTGGGTCATTTGAGGGTGGTAGACCAACTAGCAACTAGCAGACTCTGGAACAGCCCGCTGGCCTTCATTAAAGCCCTGCGGCTATTTCATTCATCCGTGATGGAGAGGTGTGTGACTGACGCTGTGAGTAAATGGACAGTCTCACACTCCCTCTGTGTCATTGCTGCAAAGAACAACGTATCATTTTACATGCACTGCTGAGGCAAACTCAAGCTCCATTTAACAAATTACCACAACTCAGCAGAGTGATTGTGTTAGAAAGCCCTGAAATGTGAGCTTGATTTGATTGTATCATTAACACACCATGTGCTGCAGTACATATCAGTAAGGTTCCTCGGACACAATGTAAATCAAAAGCCTGGAAATATTGTCCCACTCCAAACTAAGGCCTGATTAAAAAATGAATCCATCAGGGAGACGTAACAGGATACGATACACAGATCCCTGTCATTGTGTATCCTTTCACTAATAGCATAGTATAACATGTCATTTATATTTTCACATTTTATAGGGGCCCATTTTAGTGGACATGCAGCAGTTATTGCAGATGATCCATTTGATGTGCTATCACGAGAAGAACAATGTATTAATGTAAAAACATTGGCTCCAGTTATTGCATTTGATCCCAGTTTTTATTTTCTGTCTACTTCAAATGCGCAATGAATCTGCTCCTGCTGGAACTCACATATTGAAGCAAACTATGACTGTTTGGATATACACTGTGCAAACATACTGTGTACAGGCTGGTCTATAAACACGTGGCAGTAGCTGAGGAGGGCTTACCTTAAAAAAAACAATCAAGTACTGCCAGAGCAAGAAGCATGAGAGCAGAAATTAATTCAAAGGCTTTATTGTACCTTTGATAACTTTGCTTGAGTGAAATAAACACTCTACAAGCTTATGTAATTTATTGGAAATGCAAAATCCCAGAAAAGACATGAACCAGCTTTTAACTTAATGGAAATATGTCAACAACCATTGGATGGATTTTGATTGAATTCAGAGCATACATTCTTACTCCCTATACAGTATAGGATTGATCCTACTGACTTTTTATCTGCGTCGTCTCAGGTCTGTAAAACTAATGGCATTAGCAGCTGTACTTTGTGTTATGTGCTTATTACGTAACAGGCATGTCATTGTGAGTATGATAGCAATTTAGTGTTCAGCTCAAATCCCTGCTGCTGGTGAGGCTTTATCTGTCCTGGGTTCATCACTTGACTGGGAAAAGCTCTTAAAACCTCATATAAACAACCTGCTTAGCACCACACGGCAGAAAGACACAGGAAGTAAGCTAGATATTCCTATCAGGAGTTGGTTTAGCACAAAATACGGTGCTAAAAGGAGAGTACATATTTGATTTTCATTTATTTGTGTTAAAGTAGCATTCAATGTGTTACACATGCACTAGCCTGGCTTCCTGCAGGTGTAATAATAGTCATTTTTATCTTTTCTACATTTCTTATTAGAAATTAGAATAACTGCACTTAAATCGTTTTGCAGCATCTTAATATGTCCTAGTCAAATAAAGACCTTTATTGAGGATCCTGCAAACAGTAACACACACAGTTGTAAACACACAAGCATAGCATCAAAGACCATTTCTCCTTTCACAGAGTGCTGTTTCTGTGTTTGTGTAAGCAGCAGACCGTGGTTCCCATAAGACAGGTAGAGGAGTCCAACTGTGACGCACTGCTCAGCTGAAACAGAAAGAGATGTTGAGTTAAGTGGGTTCAGATAGAGATCGGCTTAGTCAAGTGCTTGATTTTCTCAGTGTTACTCAGCTTTATCAGGAATTCTCACTGTGGGTTAACTAACTCCTACTTCTTCCTCGCTCTGTAAATGCTCTTTTAGTGCACTGCTTTGCTTCACTTTCCTTCATCTTGGCTGTGTTGTTTCAGAAGGTTCTGCAGATAGTTCAATGCTTTGGTTTCTCCAGAATGGCAACCTCTGCTCTTCTTCTTTCTCAGCCTGCTTTCTCTTTTTCATCAACAAATCTTCCTCTTCTGCAGTCTGTCTTTGCGACTCCTGACTTTTCCGTGTGTTTTATTTTTATTTTGTTTTTAAGATATATCTGTTGTAATTTATTGTCGTTTATTGTGATTTGTAGTAATGTGTTTTTATTACATGTACAGCACTTTGGCTCGACCAAAAATCGCTTTTAAATGTGCTATATAAATAAAACCTGATTTGATTTGTTAGCCTTGAATTCTTGGCATTTTACATCAAATGCCATAATATAACTTGGCAGCTTCATGATGTACAACTTCTTGGCTTAAAACGACATTACACATGAAACCAGATCTTGTGATGTTTTCTTCAATACAACTCAGATGTCCAAAAGTGCATTTGCAACATTTAGAGCTGATTCTTTGTTTATTCCGCCACCGCTTTCCACTCAATTGCACCTTGAGGAGCAATTACAAGAACGTGAAAAATCATGATGTCTAGTATACTGTGTCTAACAAGTCGCAGGAACAAACAGTTCCTATTCTGACAATATACAAAAAACAACCTAAATAAGGGGTGTGTTATTGTTACAAGCTTCTTTGTATCCTGCCAAATACATATTCCTGTGGCTTAACCAAGTTGGGAGCTATTACGACAAGGAGAGAAGTTGCCTTGTTTGGTTCTGGACGCAAAAGCAAAATTCTGCTTTAAGGCTCGACTGTGCTGCCTGATTCTGAGAAATTCAGTGCCAGAAATGTCAGCTGATGTTTCTTTGTGCGTACTTCCAGAGGCAGCAATGTAGCCCCCAAATTCATTATCCCTGTATGAGCTTCAGGCGTTGCCTCTTCTCTCTCTCTATTTTGCGTTTACCAGGAGCTGATAAATGGATTTAGTCTGTATTACAAAGCAAACCTATGTGGTTGATAAAGGCCAAAAACGTGGCACTGCTTAGCACATATGTTTCTCTTGGGAAAACTCCTGTACAGCCCATCTCTTGTTACACTCCTCCACTCATCAAGGTTAATTAAAAATGTCACCATGGCTTCACACAGTTTTTAAGCCACCTCCGGAAAACGTTCACACATTGTGTATCTCCCTCTGTTTTCCCTCGAACTCCACTACAGTTTCTCTCTTTTCCTCTGCTCTCCACAAAGGGTCCTTTGGCCATCGTTAGAACTTAATGAACTCAGTTTAATAATCCAGGGAATTAGTGTAGATCAGCATTGCTGTATCCTACAGGCATTGTGTTGCTGGCTCTTCCTAGCGTTTAAATGAGTGTGTGTTAAATGTGTTGTGTTCTTATTGCGTCCCACACTCCGCTATCAAGGGGACATAATGGGATGTTCCACATCTTTCCCTAATTAGTTTCGGAGAGTGTGTTCATTAGACTTAGCAGATTTAGTTAACTTATCGGTATCTCACAATGGCCCAATTCCCCCAAGTACACTGATGTCTGGGTGATTAATCATCTCAGTCTGCACACTGTAATGAGGACTTTTGAAGAGTCATAAGTTGCTCTTAATGTATGGAAACATTAGGTATATGCACTGTAGCCCACATGTATTGCAATATCCTTGAGGCTCAAGTGCACCACAATTAATTGTGTTTACATTTGTTGGGTTTCTAAATGAATTTCAGACTGATGTTTTTAATGGCTTGCTTTACATGTCAGAGTACACACATTTCTAATTTCACAAAGCTTACAGTGTTGATGGAAAAAAAGCAGCCTTTTTCTAGGGCATCATCCCTGGAGGTTAACACATGGGTCCCTCTGTCACTTTCCCCCGGCCAGCTATGATATTGGAAATTATTCAACATTAGTGTGCGCAGAGCCCGGGTAGACTTGGGGTGTTACTCCCTTGCAGCGGGGTGTCACATTGAAATAGAAGTAAATTAGCTGTCACCGAGGCTCGGCTTGGGATCTGCTGCTATGCCTCAGAGAATATCCCTTTTGTCACAGGGTCTCTCCTCGCTGCCAAGTCGATGCAAGGCAACAAGTCATTATAGCTGCAAGAAATAAAGAAGCACACTATAATTTGAGTCAAATGGCTTTCTTTATCTGAAGATGAATTGCCACCATAGAAATGCACATGGCTGGATCACAGCACCAGGGTACATCACCTGCAGTGTGCAGTAGTGCTCATAGAAAGCAGTAGCATTAGGGTGTGATTAAGTCTCTGCTTCTCCAACAGCAGACAGTTTCTCTCTCATTATCTACGGGCCAACATTATGTGTGTGTATAGCAGGACTCATTACCAGCAGCAAAGCCCAAGGGGCAGGGCAGATTGGCTCAGTCTCAAGACAACAGGGTGAACACAGCTGGCTTTAAAGGGTATCCGAATTCATCATTCCACCATTCCCACATTTTCTAGATAATCTAAATCTAAAGGAAGCTACACAAAGTATTCAAGTAAATATGGTAGGTTTAATTAAGCAAAAAGGCTTTAGCGTACATCCTTTTGGTCAGTGCAAATCTTTAGTTTGGTTTGACAATACATCAGAATGAATGACTTTTTTTATTTGAATTTGAGAAATTACAAGAATAAATAAACACAACTACCTTTGTTTTTGAAAACTCTGCTTCCTCATTTTAAAACTACACAATGATTTTTTTTAAGTAGAGAAAACGATCAGATAAGGGTTATTTGTGGGGGTGTTTCATTTAACAAACATGTCTGAGGTAAACACAAAGAAAACTAATTATAGTGCAACATGTATAGTAACACATCAGCAGTATTAAAACTGTGAGTCAATAATCATGACTGAGAGGAATGAAACAAATATTATGATGCCGTTATGACCCCCAGTGCTCGGATTGAGTAACGCACGGCAAGCAATGCTTTTATATAGAATACAGTATTTATTATTACATTAAAAGAACAATACTGAGAAAAATGATCAATCTTGTCTAATTAAGATAGCACTGTGTATACTTTGTATTTAAAGTCAATTACACACATTGCAAACACATGTATCTTGACTTACAGTACAACACTGCTACAAGGGACCACGTAACGTAACATAACATAGCTACACAATAAAAAATTAAAGTATCAATATGATGCCAACACACAAAAGCATAACCCGTACGCTGTACAAAATGTTCGTTTCTGTTACTTTCTATGTGAACTGTGTAGTGTTTGAGAAAATAAATATTAAAAGGAGCACTGACAACATCTTGTGTTCATATGAACAATGATACAGAGCAATATCTGAAGCCTCTAACCTTTCTTCTGCTGTTTTATCAGTAGGCCATCTTATTTAATAATAATAATAATAATGATGATGCACCTGTGATATACACAATAAACTTCTTGTTTTCCTCTGTTTTTCATTTTATGTTTAACATAAATATTTAGTCTCATTATTGATCAAGAAATGATCAAACAAATTCTGCATTATTTCACTAAAATATATGGCATTCAGTTTCAGTATTTTGTGAACGGTCCGTTACAGTAAAGGGCTCCTTCTGCTTACTTAAAACTCTTATAAATATAACAATGCTATTTTTTACATTTTTTGTGTATTGTGTATTTGTGTATTGTGTGGTTTCAAAATATCCATACACACTTCACAAATGTCCTCATATTTGGTGACATAATGACAGGCTTTTTTTGACTGACTGTCTAACATTAGCATTAAAACACCTTGACTGGCATTATACTAGTAAAATACTCACTATTTATAACCAATAACTGAAACATTGAAGCTAGATTTATACATGCTGCCATAGGGGGGCAGCACCATACTCCCTATGGAGGTCCAGTGTGTGGCTCTAGGAGGAGGAGTCCTCCTCCACAGGGTGGAGAGCGTTCCTCCTGAGCAGTGTCTTTAGTGTCTCCACCTCCCGCTCGGCTTTCCTCAGCTTCTTACGTAGTGTCTCGTTGGCTTTCTGGAGCCTCTGGTTGTCCTGGGAAAGACACAGAACATGTTAAAGAAGCTCAGTAACTGTGGTGCATTCAAGTATTTTGCATTTGTTAGGAGAAATGACACTTACTGTTTCCAGAGATTCATAGTTGGGTTTGTTTTCCTCTTCTGGCTCTACAGGCTTTAGTGCAACGGACGCTCTGTTTTCCCATTTGGCACAGTGTCGCACTTTTCTCTGGGGCACAGGGCTGGGACACGAGGTGAGCGTGGGCGCCGCTGGGACCAGCAGACAAGGCTGAAGGACGCCCGCCTCAGGGTCTGCAGTGGAGAGTTGGGGTCCATCTGTCTGGGTGCCACTATGGACCTTCTGAGGCCTCAAATGGGAGGCAACTGGAGAGTCTGGGCTCCAGTCTTTACTTTCATCTGGCGGGTAGGGGAAAGGACATTCATCTGAACCTGGAGAGCAAACCATTATTAGTAATCATTTCATATGGAAAATATACTTGACTGTCTCAACTTCTCAGCCTTTTATTAAAAAGGAGAATAAGCTCACTAGACAACAACCACAAAACAAAAATACTGAACTCTGTCTCATATGAAACAAAGGCCAGATACACCATATGAGGAATAGCACGTCACACAGACTCATTTATAGAGGGGCTGTGCTAATATAGCCCCCTTGTTTTTCATTTATGTTTTGGTGTAAGTAAAATCGAAAGTCCTTCTGTTCTGAATATAGCAGCTTTCTCATGGCAGGTGGGTAGCTTCAGTTTTACTGTAAGTGAAACGGTTCCTACTGACAGCTGAAGGGAAATCACCCTGACAATAGACCCTGTGTCCTCGGCTGCAGAAAACTGAAGTGAAATGCGGTAAATTATGAGTTTTATTGTTTTCATTGCAAAGTGGCAGGCAGTGATTACAATAAATAACACTGCCAGGTGGCACCTGCTATAAGGACTTGATTGGTGACATGCAAGGTGCATGTGTGTGGTGTGTGTGTGTGTGTGTGTGTGTGTGTGTGTGTGTGTGTGTGTGTGTGTGTGTGTGTGTGTGTGTGTGTGTGTGTGTGTGTGTGTGTGTGTGTGTGTGTGTGTGTGTGTGTGAATCAATAGGACTGGTAATGCTGGTAATGAACTCCATCACTCAAACCCACCCTCAGAGGGGCCCATGCTGACAGGCGTGGTGCTTGGCGTCGGACTGTCGATGGCGTTGGTCATTTTGGCGTTTTTCTTGCACTCAAACGCCACCTGGTCCTTGCACAGCTTATGGCAGTTCATCCCGCAGTCTGAGAAAGCCAAAAGAATGCACACAACATGTCAGAGCAGGAACTAGCGTTAGTCGAACATCTACAAACTGACATTTCTTTGAACACTATCACTTCTATAAAATGCAAATCTCAGACCTCTGCATGATAACTGTCAGGCAAACAAATAGCTTTCAGATCTTTTGAGGGAAGGGGGAGGGGGAAAAACTGTGGTTCAGGCTGCAGCCTCTCTTTTTTTTTCATGTTCTGCAAGTTCAGCTATCTGTGTGCAACACAGAAAACCACACTACACCGTCTTAAGATAGCTTCACATTACCTGCTCGCCACGAGACACTGTGTGTACCTCTACTGATTTTTAGACATTACACTGACATGTGGCCAAAGATCAACATGCTTAAGTTGCACAGTGTAAAGTGAAAGAATCACCTTTGCATCTGTAGCCTTGCTTGATAACACCCCACAACTGTGAAGAAAAACACAACTGTATTTGCATCATTGAAGCCTAAACAAAACTAAAAACAATGTCACATTTGGTAAGAGCTTTTAGATTGTGATATAGCTTGTTAAGCCGTTTCTATATATTATCATACACCAAATGTGTGTGCTGACTTACAAATCCTGAGCAGTTGTCACAGAAAGTGGGTTTCATGTAAGTGGCCTCCTGGAAGTTGTGGACAAAGCCAAGACCCAGTTTGGAGCAGATGACACTGGCACGCATGAAATATGCCGTGATCTCCTTTCTGCTGATAAGGCCTTCCCTGAACAACCACAACACATACACAGTATAACTTAACAGAAGAAATTGAGCTGTAAATGAGACAGAATGAATGGGAAATAAACATTTTCATATCTTAACTTCACACTTTAATGTTTGGTCATGTCTGACCTGATTTATGTGTGTGCACTCTCATGCCACATGGGTAAACACCATACCTCTCTGTCATTGTGTAATGTAAAACAGAATCACCAACTATAGTGGTTTTCATATTAAGGTATAAATGAAGGATCACATGTTCTTCTGTGGCTTGTAAGAATCATGTACCATTGGATGTGCATGAGAAAAAGACGGAGAATATTTAGAGGTGAGGGTTATGGTTAGTTCTACCGCTATTTTATGTTTCCTGTTGCTACACTCATCACTACAAATACCACTTTTTCTTCCTCTCCTCTGAAGTCATAAATGAGCGTGTGTGCTCGACCTGTCAGACGAAAACGTACTTCTCTTTGTCCATGACACAGAAGGAAAACGGAAAGCTAGCAGCAATTTTCTCAAATTCCACATGAGATATGAAGCCGTTCCCGTCGTGATCGTAGTTCTTAAACACGGACTGTGAAAGACAAGAGGCAAACGCCATTGTTACATGACTGTTAAATGTACAACAGGTGCAAGAGAAAGCTGACAAAATGGCAGCATCCAGAAGAATGGTTAAAATAAATTATTGATAATGGTGATAAAACAGCTTTGCTCAGAAGCAACGTCAAGGCTATACCCTAGAAAATAGGAAGCACTTACGTCCACCATTCTCTGCACATGTTTGCTGATGGTTCGGGGGTCGGGTTTAGGAGCCACTCCTGATGCCCAGTCCACAACCAATGGAGGTCTTGAGGGGGTGGCTGGCTGATAGAACAATTATTTGTCATTAAAAAACAAGCCTGAACAACATGAACAATATCATGTGAGCAGCTCTCTTACTCCAAATCCAATAACGGCTTTCAGACACAATACTGGCGATCTAAAACCATTTTTTAAAAGCTGACTAATGCTCATGACATAAAAGTTTTTTTTTTAAAATGTTGGCAGTGAGTAAAATGAGAAAATCGGCACACGTGATTTGTAAATATGTAGATGGAACCAGAAGCTGCTTAGCTTAGCTTAGCAGAAAGAATAGAAAACGCTAACTTTGCTTTGATCCCCATTTCCTGTCTTTAAGCTAAGCTAACTGGCTGTTGGCTTCATATTGAGCATACAGACATGAGACGATGAGAGTGGTATAAAACTTCTTATCTAAGTTCTTAACAAACTGACAAGAAAGAGAATAATTGTTTCACAAAATGTCAAACTATTCAGTTGAGCATTAAAAGCTTTTTTTGGCAATTTAATTTGACTTCTAGCTAGTTGACAGGCTAGCTGCTTCCCAGGGTTTCCAGTCTTAATATAAACTAACCGGCTGCTGGCTACACCAAAAATATTTAGCATACCAACATGAAAGTGGTACAAATCTTTCCATCTAACTCTCAGTTGGTTGTTAACTTTAATGTCTCTGCTTCTATAACTCACAGGTGCTTTACAGTTCTTGGGTTCCCTGGTGTAAGACAGTTCATAGATCTCATCCTCAGTGTAGTAAAGGTCCAAGGACAGCTGCAGGGAAGGAGAGGACACATGTAAACACTTGGGAAGTAAAGTTTTTTTGTATATTATTATCCTTGAAACATGTTTTGATGAGCGCAATATTAGGTCACAGTTTAGCTGTTGTTTTTTCATGGGCATTCTGTCAAGTACGGCTAAAGCACCGACACAGCGAGCACAACAATATAACAATCTGAACTCGCTCTCATTCACACTCAGTTCATCACCCACACACTCATAGATCATAGACTCTCATCACACCCACATGAGCACGGACAATCCACATGCTGTAATGCACTCATTTGCATCTGTGCTTGCATTCAATACAATCTAGTGAATTACATGAAGCTAAATAGCTATTTTTAATGGAATCTTAAAGAAATGTTGGGCTACCGTCAACAGATGGACCAGGTCCTTGTTAGCATCCAGCCTGGGAGGGATCTGCTGGAGCTGGATCAGCTCATTAATGTGGCTGTAGAGTGCCTGGAGCTTCTGGACATTCACCTTGTTGTCCTCCACATAGTCTGACATGGCTTCATTGACTGAAATCAGATCTTTGAGGTGGACGCCCAGTATAGGGATTTTAAAACCTGTACACCTGTTGTAAGCTTGTCGGTAGTTGTCATAGTTTCTGCAAGAGGATAGCATGTCTGTCATCTCGTTCAATTCTGGGGGGGGGGGGGAAATAATATTTTATTTGTTCAAATGGATTGGCTCTATTATCAGCTGTATTTTATGTAAGTTGGTTTCACTTTACCTTGGTGACCTCACTGGATACATGTGAGGTGGTGTCCTTCAGTCTGGAGATCGAGCTGTGACAAAGCCCTCCCACTACTGCCATTAGTGTATTATAATTGTGCATAAGATGTAGACTCTAGTGGATGCACACAAAAAAAAAGAGCACACATATCAGTCTATCCGCGCACTCACATAAACACGCACAATTAAACTTGTTCCAGGTAGGCCTGGTTATATAATCCACCTCACTGCAGTTACATAAGCCACTTACATTGTTGGCTTTTTCTTATTGCGCTCTGATATCTCACTCTTTTTTGGAAGTGCTTTCCCCTCTCTTTTCAGTTCTCTAATTCGTGCTGTCACTGGAGCATTATGGTGTGAAATTATTTTTCCACACCCGTGGGTTTTATGGTTGACAGCAGTGAGCAGCAGCAGACTGGTGCATTAGTGTAACAGTGCAAGAGGTCCTCCAGAGTACAAGCCTGCTTAACGGCTCCCTGAAGCCGGGGCACCTCTTCCCAGCAGGCTGCATGCAGCTTTACAATGAAATGGTTTTAACAAGCAGGGTCTGCACTCACGAGTCATGTCCCTTTTTCCCACTTCCTCAAACTCTTCGCCATCTAAGTGTGTTCCACTTGATGACTCCATTAGCCTTCATTCAGTTAATATTTTTCTATTGGAAACATCTTTGGGTTTGCTAAAAGCCTGCATCAGAGCTCTTGAGAATCATCACCACCTCTGTGAATATTCATGATGCAACTGGCAATTATGTAGCATCTATAGAGCTGTTCAGGATGTGACAATAGACTGTCATTAGTTAGATAAGGTGTTTGAACAATAGCACGTAGATGTAAGCAAGAGAAAATGTGTCAACGGAGTTCCATTTTTCAACCAGGAACAGAAAGTGTAAGAGTAAACCACTACCTGTGCCACGTGGATGAACTTGGTGAAAACCTCAGCTCTGAGCTGAGCGGTGGGCCTGCTCAGCACCATCAGCTGAACCCACTGTGAGACACCGTTACACAGGGCGATGGAACGCTCCATCGGGGGGATGTCCTTCATGCAGCAGCTTCGAATGTAATTCTGATAGTCTATAAACTGAGAGAGCACAGAGAGGAGCATTGACTTGCTGCACGGAAACTGCAAGGCATTTCCCGTGGGGAGGAAATAAACTAACGGTATTCAGATCAAAGAAGATGCATGACAAATAAACAAATCACCAATGTGCAAAAGACAACCTATATACACTGGAATATACTCACTGATATCCTGCAGAAGGACTTGAATTCCAGGAAGGTGAGATGCTCAGCCCAGCTCGATGGGCTCCAGGTGATCAAAAAGAAGAGAGACCTTCCTCTTTTTGCTTGCTGTTAGCTTTGATCTTCTGGCTGGCCTTCCACGACCAGTCCCGCCTCACTTCTAGCACACCACCATTGAACATTAGAACCACCAAAGGATAGCATGACTTCTTAAACTGGCTAATTATAGTTTTAAATACAACGATATGGTTGTGTTTATCAGAACTGAAATTGGTTATGTGGCCCAACTTCTTCATTGTTTTTAAGCTTTTAGTCATGAAGCAAACACTTCCAAAGATACCAATACACTGAATTATGTGCATTTTTGCGAATTATAACTTTTATCTTGGAAAGTCATATTTTAGTTCTATTTAAACTACTTTTTCAACAAAAAATATCTTCACCCAGTTCAGTGGTTCCAACATCTCAAATGTGAATATTTGCTGATTATTTAAGTTTTATTTTATAGTTTATTATAGAAATAATAGGACAGATGAACTGATAACTCATCTACAGTCCAATGGGTAAAGCACAAGTAGCAAAGCGGTTAGGTGTTGTTTAATAGAAGACACATCACGTATTTTTGTCTTCTAAAACCATGAAAAACAAACATATGTTTGATCTATCTTGACAGCTACATTAGCAGCCTTGAAGTTTTACAGTGCACAGTTCAAAGTCTGTTAAGTCTTGATCGTGACTGATTTCAGTATTTTCCGTGACTGAACAAAAAACTGAGTGTCGTGTCGGCCTTATTTCGCAGTTCCAGCTGGTCAGAGACTAACACTTACATCCATTTGGTCTCTAGGAGAGCGCAAAGATTGCTCCTGGCCCTGCGCTCGGATCATCTCCCGGAACTCATCCAGGCTGTCGGACAAGCTGTGGTTCAACCGGAACATCATCCAGAATTCCTGGATCCAATGCCTGGAAGTCAGAGAGGATACCATGTGAGTGACGCTGAACACACAACTACAGTTAGAGTCTTACAATGATATCAGTGTGTTAAACTGACCTGATTAGGTAGCATATCCTTTGGCACTCCATCGGCTGCTCATTATCCATCGCTGTTTTAAATGTGAGGAATTTTGGTTAAGAAGCCGATGTTGACTGATTATTATCTGAGAAAAGTGTGTTTTTTTTATTGTCTATTAAGTTGAAGCTGGGGATTTACGTCAGGAGTCAGCTACAAGTTTTAGGAGAACATTGTATCTGCTGATCCTTGACATTGCTAAGGGCAGAACCTAATCAACATGTGTATTTGTCTGCAGGGCTTCTTTTGTACAAACAGCTCATTAATAAAAAATAAATACAGCAACTAAACTAAAAGGCGGAACAGAAGTGGCATTTGGTGATGTGGGAGGAGGCGACTGGCATGGGAAAAAAACTCTGATGAGCATCACAGAATGAATCATTCTGGCATACAGGAGAAAGTGAAAAACAAATGTCCAAAGAGAAGACACAATCAATGCCTCATATACAGTGGAACAACTGTTGATTAATGTGCATTGTTTAGAGGTGGGAGATGTTTTATCAATGTCGTCAGCGCACTGCCATACATATTCCCACAAAAACACTGCCCTACCAATCTATATACAGTACACACAAAAGCATGTCCTTATGATACGAAACAGACTGACACTTTAGCTCTCAATTGGCAGAAATCAGCTTGAAGTGATGCACATAAAAAGGCTAATTGCGTCATGGGAGCAGAAGAACTGCCCACGCAATCCCAAAGCCAGACTGTGAAGAAGGCTGTTAATGGCCCCCGTGTCTCTTCCCTCATCCTAACCCACTCACTGAATTTATTTGATGTCCTTTTGGGTCTTCTGCTCAGAACGAGAGGGTTAAAAATAGCAAGGGGCATTAGGCGTTGCATGCTATGAAGTGGGTTTGTGTGAGCAGGGGCCTCTTTAAGCAATAGAGGGTCAGTGTTTATTTATAGCTGAAGTGGACCTGTATGTGATGAGGCAGAGGTAATTAACACCTGAAATGCCAAGGCTGATCACGGGGGCCAGTAGGCTCCTCTGAGAGGTTTTGTGACGCCACTGCTGTTTCCTGAATGGAAGACTAGATTACAGGCACTTCACTCAAGTCACAAGGCCAACAAAAGGAAAACATTTTCTGGGTGTGAATATGGGAAGATGAAAGAGACAGAATCGAACATTTTGAATGAGTCTTGGTACACAAAGGCCTTTCCTGGAAGCCATCCACTATCGGTCTGACGTCATTTCAACCTTAAGGGTGTGGAATAGCCAGCAGATATCTGGACCAAGGCTTCCTATTCCTATGCTGCTAATTATTAATACGATTTTTTGAAGCTAATAAAAAGATTAATCATTGTCAGACTATAGTCAATAGATCTCGAGATTGAATTTTGGTTCAATGAGTTCTGCCTCTTTAGCTTACAAGCAATCAACCAAAGCCTGCTCAAAAGTTTATACATTTCCGATACAAAAATCTTGTCCCGTTGCCTACAGGTTCTGCAAATGAATCCAGGATATGTAAATGTAGATTGACATTACGATAACAGACTATTACTAAGTGCATGATGGAGAGGGGAGGGGAATTATAAGACAGAGATGTAAATGGTGCACAGCGTTGACAGAGTAAACACGAGCTGCCACTTGCCTATCACATTTTACACTGACAGCTAAGGCTGCATTGTGAGCCAAGTAACAGCTTGATTGCCCGTTGCTGTTGACAACCAAAGAAAAGCAGCACAAGAAAGATCCAATGTTGGATTTTGGTGCTCAAAAGATTGGCATTGATAAGCAATGTGCTTGATGGATGGCATGTGTTTTTTTTTCTCGAGGACCACTTCTTCAACAGCCTTTCTCATTTGGGGGGAGTTTTTGTATGTTATGTCATAAAGGTTGTATCTTAAGATTCATTTGAATAAAGTAAATAGCAGTTATAGCCTTATGTTGAAAGGATATAGAGTAGTGAGCTTGTCCAGCAGGTCACTGGAGGAGATGTGGATACGGTGCATGGTCAGGGTGATGTTCAACAGGTGGCTGCTCCCACACACACACCCGTCCGAGTCTGCAAGACAAAATGCACACAACTAAATTTACCCTCATTGCTCCAATTAAGAAACAACGCCTAACACAACAGCAACACAAGTCACAGAAGGCATCCACTAAAATATAAATGTTGCATTAAAGGTAATTCAGTTGAGTTGTTTATGAAACCAGAATCTGTGGAATCTAACTTAATTTAAGAAAAAGGCTAAATAATATTCTCAAAAAACTAGCCGCTGTAGCTTTCAGTACTACTAGCAGTAGTAGTAGTTGTTGTCCCCAAAAAGGAAAAAAGGAGCTTTTTCTTCAGATTTATTTTTATTATGAATGACTATTTTGGGATAAATTCATGGGTAAGCCACTCTTTGCATATAAACCTGCGGATGCAGTTGTTCATAGATTATTCTAGATTTTTCTTTTGATTACAAATAGGATTATGTTATATTAAAATGTGGACTGGGTAGAGGACAAGTAATAACCGTTCTTCTATATGACGTTTCAACACTGAATAAAACGTATTATGTGTCACGATTATAACCTGTGAAAATCATAACGTAAACATTTCCATCAATGGATAAGACATGGTTATGAATGCATGATGAATACACTAACACATTTCATCATACTATCCACAGACCCCTTTCCTCCGATTGTGTGAACCTCTGCAGCTTGCTCGTCTCACCACCTTTCTCACTTCCTTTTTCCTTGCGTATATATCTCACTTCCTCCCTTTGTAACCAGACCACCTTTTCTTATCTTGATAGTCTTATTTTACTCGACAACTGACATCTTGAGACTCACAGAGTAATAAACTTCCCTGTTGACCATTAAAAGAAATGAGCCTACATGTGTCTGAAATATTACATGACATCACAATGCCAGGTCTGACCTTTAATAGCAGAGAAACGCATTGTAATGCCTGCATAAGCAAAGCAACAAAGCCACTTCTCTTCCAGTAAACTCAAAACCACAGCTACGTGCAGTGAATTAGTTGCTGACATAAAAAGGAAGAGCATTTGATTTAGTCTTTGGAAACATTATTTATACATCATGGGGCTGTTAACATTATTCCTACAATATGTAGAGAACACACAGTACTGAAAAATTGAAAGCCCAAGAAACATTTGTGAGTTTTTCTCCAGCTGAGACTTGTTTTCCTCTAAGCTTTAGCAGTATCTTGACACCATCAAGGACATCAGGCATCTGTGGACCCACTTTTAAACCATATCACCTTGGAAATATCTCGGACGCCATGGCAACATGTTTTCTAATCTTTGTTATCTGTAAGCAACTCACCACTCCAGCCGCAGCTGACTAATCCAGCCCTCATAGCCTGCATGGGGTGTGTTTTTGTTTGTAACACACAGCCACAACCAGCCAAACCCAGTGAATATCATTACCTCACCAGTCAAGTCATTAAGAGAGTAAAGGAGAAGGGAAGTTAAACGATTTCTAGCAGTGAAAATAACATGGTTGGTTACGCTTTGATGCAGTGAAGAAATGTGTATATAAAGCAATACCCATTCTTCTTCTTTCTTTACATTGTGGTGAACTGGGCTATAAGCCTGTTTTACCTAAATTATCAATTTACACTCTTCAGTTCAAAGTCAATCCTATGGCAAATGCACAACAGGAAGTCATGACTCTCCATCAGTAAACATTGCTCCATCCTTTTTTTTCACAACTTTCTTCCGACCACTAACCCTCTCTGCGCAGGGTTAATTGAAGGAGGAAATCCCCTCCGGACTGTCTGTTCCTGACATGGAAAATTAGGAAAGCTGCCACCGCTTCACTGGATCCTGTGTGATACTGTCTTGTGATAAACACAGCCAGGGCACGCAGCACCCGGCCCACTTTTAAGGTTATCTCAGACATTTATCACCCTCTCCAAGGCTCCGTGTCGCTTTTCCTTGTTTTGACAGAGCAGACTGGATGGTCTCTTGTTTTAGAGGGAATCCAAGTCAGACACAGAAGATGGTATCTCTGTGTTCTCTGTAAAAACGTCTCTATAATAATTCAGGACTCAACTTTACAAGACTTGTGATTGAATATATACTTTCGAGCCGTGATTGACGTACTGTACCAACTGTACGGCGTACATCCAGAGATTGTGGAGAATTCTGACTTCTTTTATAAAACAGGAATTCATGATTTGATTTAAGAAATTATTATCCACAATTTAAGTGAGCTATACAAACACGTGAACACGACATAAAGAGAAGTGTGAAAACTAGTTAGAAAGCAAGCTAAAAGTTAGCTATAGTAGCAGTGGATAAATGATAGATAGAAAGCAGGGGTTCCTACAGCTTGAGGCAAAGTTCAATTTCAGATTTTATGACTTTTTTTGGTAATGAAATTCAAGATTACTCTACATTAACCAAAAACTAAAGAAATACAATCATAAAGTATCATTGCTAGTTTGTTAGCAGTTTCTCTATCCTCATCAGAATGACGATAATCTGAAAAGCTTTCGGTTATAAAATAGATGTGACCAATTCATTTGAGATTTTAAATCGAAATGTCAGACGAACAGTATTTCTATAAAGCTTCTTCTATTGTGTTGGGCATTTTCAAGACTTTCAAAATATTGATTTATGACCTGAATCTGATTTTAGATCATTTATTTCAATGTCAATATTATTTCACATTTGAAAACATGATGAGTTTCATGTAAGAAATATTATATCTAATAAAATGAAAACCTTTATAAATACAAAATAATTAAATACACATACATTGGGGCCCAACACTGCCTGTTCGGTGCAGAGCGGTTTAGGAGGTGCGATGATGATGATGTCAACAGCTATTGATCCACACTCATAGTGCTGGTGCATTTCAACAAGGCTGGTTCAGCATCTGAAGGACCACTGTTAGGGGAGCGAACCTTTTGGCTCAGCGAGGCTTGAAGCTGCCATCAGGTAATCCTTCAAATAGCTCTTACGTGCACTCTCACATTTGAAAAGGTGGCATCAGGACTCGTGGACCTTAGGGGTTCGCCTGTGATGTGGGCCAAGAGAAGCGAGGCTATGTTCTATTTTATCAGGAGAAGCTGTTCAAGGACATCCCCAGTCAACACACACTGTACTCAGTCAGATACCATCATGTGCAGTGACACTGAAATTACTTATTGAAGCGTCAATATGCTATAACACTGATCCTGAATTTTAACTCTTCTTCCTCGGATTAATTATCTTCCCTTCGTGAATCTGAAATGAACAGCAGGCTGTCCTTGCTACTGGGTTTACCGCTCCACAGTTATGGGATGTCGTTTATGCGCAGCCCATTGTAACGCCTCTTCATTGCTCCTGTTCCATTTGTGTAACCAGGCAACGGCAATTTGAAAGCTTGTCTCTTCAGAGACGCAATCACCATAACTCTGAGAGCACTCCAGTCAACTTGATGAAGCCAATGATTATTGCTTGATTGATCCAGCTACAGCCTACTCAATCACTGCTGTTTTCTCATTTAAAGAAACCTCCATATAGCTTGCTTATAATGAATCATCAATACTTTAATCGTAAATACAGTGACTGTAGAACCATAGGAAATTATATAATAATCAATCAAATATTGATATTTTACAGGTAAAATAAAACTAAATCTGACTTAGAAGCATGAGTAAGATTTCAAAACATAAAATCCTACATTAAACACAAATTAATTCAGCAGTGTTAAGGAATCCCATTTCACTTTCAAATGCAAAGCTTCCCACTCCTTTTCGTTAGAGGCCTGCCCAAACTTGTTGAATGTTTGCAAGAAAAAAGTAGTGGGAAAACAGAGTCTTCTGGGAAACCACAACAAAATGTGATTTCACGTAAACTAAGGCTTATTATCTTATTGTTTCTCATAACAGAGTCAAGTAGTGCAGGAAAGCATGAGTCAAACAGAACATTCCAAAGAATAGGGAGATATTGTTGTTGCATAAACATGGAGCACAAAACACCTGTGTGCCCAAACTCAACACAAGTGCCAAGGCAGGTCAGCTGGACTTACCAAAAGACTGCAGACAGGCCTGAATGAGCTCCTCCCAGCTCCCCCCTTTGGTGAGGGGACCCAGGGACATCATGGATTTAGTGGGGACAGGCTGGGCCGGGCTGGGTTTGTGAAACCTGTGAGGACGGCCTGGAGGAGAAACTCTAGACCTGGAGCTGCATCCTGGAGTCGCCCTCCTTAAAAAAACACCAACACAACAGAGGGCTTGTTGTAATGAAAGTGGGCCTTTCTCTTTTTGCCCATGAGGACGTATTGTACGTGCAGCAGTTTCAAACCATAATCTTCTGAGACCACAGGCTATGACACATAACGATCTGCGTAATTGTCACAAGAAATTGGAGCCATTGTTTGAATTTAACCCCCCCCCCCCCCATGGAATTTAGCTTTTCATTGTTCTCATTTCCTTCCTTTAACTGGGGGAAATACCGGTTGATTGCGGACATCCAGTTTAAACTGTTGTGTGACCAGTAAACAAAAATGTGTTCGAACATGGCTGTTTTAAATGCAGCATGTCAGAAAGTAACAGCAATTGCGATTAAAGAACCTGTGCGTAAAATCATCCGGTAGCATCAATTTAGTTTTACGCACGAACATAAAGAGGCGCCTGTTCATTTACAACCAAGAACAGTCACTAACACAACTCCGATAACTACACATAATAAAGAAACTGTTGAACCTATGCGCAACCTACACGCCAGCCAGAAAGTCCTGTATAAAAAACCACGACAAGATTATGAGACTTACGCATCGTCCTTTCCCTTCTCATCCGACGTTATACTTTCGTTTTGGCTTTTTCTTTTGATTGACATCCCATGGCGAGGTACTGCGCGACGAGCGGCTGAACTAGGCTGTCCATCTGTGTTCTCCTCGATGGGAGCATCTCATCGCTCCGCTGGGCCCCGCGGTCTCGGCAGCATTGTGCTGACTCGTCAATGAACGTTACACAATTAAGAGTCACGCAGTCTGTGTGAGAGTGGGCGGCCGTGGCGTGGAGCCGGGCTGTCACTCACTCACTGCAGCCTCTGAGCTCCACCAGGCGGGACCACTTGCGTCAAAAGTCGTGATCCTACAAGGTTTTCACTTTACAACTTTGAATAAATAATTACTTTGGATGGTATCTCTTTCACGGGAAAATCCAACTAAATGAGAGGCAGTTAATACATGTTTTGTGATTTCACTCATTTGAAACTTTAAAAAGCATTGAAAAAAATATTGCTCCTATGTTGATCATATTTGAGTCTCCAAAACTATAGTCTTTATTGGCGTCCTTGACATGAATGCATTTTGGAAAATCGGTGAAATGTGATGCCTTCTAGTTTACTGAAACCTTTTTGTTTATTCAGACTGCTGAACAGGAACAGGGTGGACCTTCCTCTAAAGATAACAGTGGTTGTAGCTTCCATTAGGCTTATAAGGGTGAAAGTTATTGTACATTTATGTAGATAGTCCAAGAGACTGTTTCCAGATGTTTTTCAACTTTAGGAAGAATCTAATCACACTTCATATTATGCCAATGAATAACAAGTGTGCTGACATTTGATAGCTGTTACATCCAAGGGCATTAAACATTTTAATTTAAGCGATGACATATCATTATTCAGAACATTTTAATATCACAATTGTTTAAAAACTAAATCTTGTGTGTTTAGATGACTTTCCGCAAGTGGAAATGGCAAGCAAACACACCAGAGTATGAACAGATATCATGTGAAAACCCTAAGAGATAATTGGAAAAGCAATTAATCACAGATCTTCTATGTCTATAAAACATCCAGTTTAAGCAAATGGGAAGCTGTTTAATTAGCTCTGAAGCTTTGCGTTTGGCCCTTATGCACTTCACTTTAACTGAGCGCAGGAGGAGCCACACATAGCACAAATCCTTTTAAGGTGCATACAGTTTGTGATTAAATCTGAGACAGTGCTGTGCCTCCCTCACCCCTGAGCGTCCTCCCTTTGACGAGTTGCCTCCCTTTGTGCTGTCCACAGACGAGCAGTATGAGTTCACATGTTTTCACAGACGGAGTGAAATTGTGAGAACCTATTAGCAGCTGGCTGCTTCTGATAAGATAGATTGTCTGCACCCATTGTGTCAATGTTGTTATCAGTGATACCTGAAGCCTGCCCTTATGTGCTCCAGGCACACATAAATCTGATTTTAATGTTTTGGTCATTAAATTCTGCTGGCAGAATATTACATGATAAACAATTATAACAGTGTTAAAATAACAATTGGCATATTTGTAATGATTTTTGTTATAGGAACAAGTAAAGCCGCATACACAACTGTTGCCTCGTGTGTCTCCACCATACAGTCCATGGTCCTCACCCAACCTTAGACCAACAACACAAATAATTAAACTCATATAGGTGCACCTCCAATACAGTGAGGGACTTGATTCAAGATAAACCATTTTTGACATAATATGATAGTTTTGGTAGACCATATTGCTACATCTGCTTTAGATCTGGAACTCTGAATGGACCCCATGCAAAAATAACAAATCACAGGAAGTTATAATCTCTTTCAAAAAGTGACAAATAGTAACCATGAGTCAGTTAAATTTGGGTGGATGTTTTTACATTTCTTATTCTTATTCTAGTAATTGTACATGTGTTTAAAACTAATATGCATGCATCAGCTTCAAATGAGTATGTTGATTTGCATTTTCTATTATGAAGGTATGATATCAGATTATGCACACATGGATGCAGATCATATGAAGATGAGCAGTACCAGTTCAGACATCAATCCTGTGGTCAGACATTGCTGCAAAATATAAATATCCATTCAGTAACAGCTGAAGCTGACAGCATAGTCATTTATGTCTTTAGCGTGTAAATAAAAATGGCTGGGCTGCTTTTATGTAAAGTGTTTTATCAGTTTGAAAATGATCAGATTTCTAAGAAAACAAACTGTTGGACTGGTGTCCACCCCCCTGGTGGGATATTTTGAGTATACTGACCTGTGCTTATTGAGAATAAGCTGCTGCAGTGTATTTAATATAAATAAATATTTCACAAAGATGTGATCATTTTTAAAGTGTATTACATAATGTATAAGCTCTACCTGTTCCACAACCACATAGACTACTTGACACTAAGCAAAATGCATTGCCGTCTGCCACATTCTCTTTTTGTTTCACTAGGGGGCAATACAGCCACACATTATTATAATATTTACTTCACAAAACAAATAAGTAGATATGCAGTTTCTATAGCGGATATATATAATAATACTTATTACAAGCTCAGAAACATGTACAAAAAAAATGAATCAAACTTTAAATACAATCTTGTTAATTTCAGGCACATCAGAGGCTCAACTTTAAAGGTTGAACTTTGAAAATCTCATTAGGTATTCAGATATCAGCATGGTCTATAAAATAATACTCAATGTAGCTCCCCTCCCTTGAAAGAAGTTGTCCAGCTCTGCTCTGAAACCACATGCAGAACTACAAGGTCCACCCCGGGGAGTGTAAAAAGGTATGGGCTCTGTAGTGTTTAAGGACTTGTTAGCGGAAAACAAACTATGAACAGACTTGGCCAGTCACAGTAAACTTCGATCAGAGCTGCCTTCATTTCAAATTAAGTTGTTGTTGTCTCAGTTCCTGCTGCTGGTGCGCCGTGGAAACGGAGTTGTATTTTCTTAGCGGAAGCAATAAGAACCTTTTCAATTCAATAAAAATAATTTCCATTAATATTGGATTCAAGTCGTTAGTTAGTTTGGGTATGTTGCCGTGTAATAACTCCAGCGAGGCGGTCATTATTGAAGGAAAAAAAAAAGCCTACGGTGATCAAGGAGCCCGAGGCAAATCTTGATCAGCCTTACATATTTTAAATCGCTGGATAAAACCTTGTTAACATAATTTAAAAAATATATGATAGTAGTAGTAGTAGTAGTAGTGTAGTAGTATAACCTTTATTTAGCCAGGAAAATCAATTAAGAACAAATTCTTATTTCAATGATGACCTGACAGGAGGCAAAAGGCTTCCTGAGGGGATTGGGGGTTGTGAGGAAAGAAATGATAATGAAGGGTGAGGAAGTCGATGTTGCAATTACCGTGAAGCTTTTGAACGCAGCATTGACCTCAGAGGTCGCTCACCGCCTCGTGGATATAACGTTAGCTCTGCCAGGCTAGCTAGCTAGTAAAGTAAAATCAGAAGTTGTTGCTAGCTGGCCAATGTAACATCCGTCGACAGCTGTATTTCCTTAAATAGCAGCTTTCTTTTTTGGTAACTGCTTAAAACAATTCATAACCTAACTTCAAAATGGTTATTGACGACGACACCAATCTGCTTAATATCCTGAAGGGAAAACGGGTCAAACTGATCCTCAGGAACTCATTTTACCTCGGCATCGTGGAACGCATAAACGCCAACAAAACGTTGATTTTGGCCGACGGTCAGTGAAAAATGTTGTTTATTTTTATAAAGTTAGCACAAGATTGTTGAGGAGTGAACTCTATAATGATTCAGTTTAAAATGTATTCGCTCTATGAAGGCTAACATATCAACTTAACTCTAACTTAACTTTTGTTGTTGTTTCAGTTTGTGGCAGTAATGGCTGTAAACTCCCTGGCTCTAAAATGTTCTTCGGCCGTGAGATTCTGAATGGTGAGTTCACTCTTACATCGCATTGTGGCATTGGGATATATATATTTTTAAATCCTCTGGAGCAGAGAGCGGAGCTGTGGATTATTGTTATTGATTAATGCATCAGAGATGGGCGAGTCTTGATTCATCCGGATCATTAACCCGGATCCTAGAAATGAGCTGGTCGTGACGAGTCTCCCTCTCCATTAACCCGAGTCCTTGAGTCCCACACTTGGTGTGACGTACAAATTAAAACTATAAATTGCGTCACTCGCTACTCTCTTTATAACATGTAAAATCACATTACAACGTACCCCAGTCCATCTGCCTACCCTTTAGCAAGTATACAGGATAGCTGCCTGCCAGAAGTTATCGTTTGGCTCAGGGGAGGGGACGCGGATCAGTGAAACTTCCTGCAGACTCGTGGGGACTCAGAGGAGCCGACGGCTCCTAACCGTAATAGCATAGCAGATCCAGAGATCCATACTCGTCATGTGCACGAGCATAGCCCCTCCTCCAGCACCCGGCTCCCGCGCTATCAACAGCAGACTCGCAGATTCGCAAATCCTGACTCGCTGTGCAACACACAGCAGAGCAGACTCGTGCGGACTCGGAGCCGTAACCATATAGCAGCAGATCCAGAGATCCAGCAGACTCGTCCTCATGCATGAGTCAACAGCAGACTCAGATTCGCAAATCCTGACTCACTGTTCTGCAACACACAGCAGAGCAGACTCGTGCGGACTCGGAGCCGTATATAGCAGCAGTTCCAGAGATCCAGCAGACTCGTCCTCATGCACGAGTCAACAGCAGACTCAGATTTGCCAAATCGCAAAATAACCCTTTTTTTTGTGATCAACATTTTTTATTAAAGCAAAATACACTGTGTAGCGGAGGTTAATATAACGTCAGTTTAATAGATAGATAGTACTTTATTGATCCCAAATTGGGAAATTGTTGTTGTTACAGCAGCATAAGGCATTTTACAATAAAACAAAACTACAAAATATACAAGAATAGAAAGTAAAATAAAATATAAAATATACATGTCGAAATAGAAAATATACATGCAGATATTACATATATATATATATATATATATATATATACAAATATATATATATTCAAAATATATGGAATAATAATATGCTCGTGAAATGCCACAACTTTTCGGTTTCACCGATAGGATTTCTACGGTCTTGGTGATGCTGACTCATATGACTCGTATGATCCGGATCTCTTCAATGACTGACTCAGAAGACCCTGAGTCCGTAAAAGGATCCGGATTTGCCATCTCTATAATGCATCAGTGTTTCTCACGGCCCCTACACACGGCGGCGTGCGTTGACGCTTCAACGCTTCTGCCCATTCACTTTGAATGGGGTGACGTCACGATTCGCCGAACTGCATTCTGGGAGCAAAGCGTAGCTTTCTCGCTGTCACGGACCGTCCACACAGCAGCGTTAAAAAAATCTTGGAGGTGGGCGTATCTGAAGCTTGGGGATTTTTTGCGAGCAAGGCACCAACAACCAATCACATGAATCTCCTGCCCCCGACATACGAAGCAAAAAAGTTTGAAGTAAACTGGATATAAACTCCCCAAACAGGCGAAAACATACCACTGTCTCTGCCACCTCCCTCCATGCCTGGCTCCTCCGGTTTATATCCCGGTAGGTAAATAGGGACTGGTCATAAAGCACCGGGTGATTCCCTACCGCTAATTTCTCCTCCATTTTTTGGAATATGAGGAAATGAACTGCGGTATGTCACTCCCAGCTTACACGCCGTTTGATTGGCTAGAGCTTGAACGGTCAGATTTGCGTACACGGGATTTGATTGGCTGACGCTTCCACCTCAGCCTCAAAAGTTTGAACATTGTTCAACTTTGAATCCTGAAATCCTGAAAATCTCCGCTCGCCTGCCCACAATGCAGTTCGGCGAAAAGTGAGGGAAAGTGACGTCACCCCATTCAAAGTGAATGGGCAGAAGCGTTTCAAGATTTTTTTAACGCTGCTGTGTGGACGGTCCGTCACTGTCAGGCCCAATCCCAAACCACTCCCTCGACCCTACCCCTCCGTGGCGGAGTGAACTCCGTCTGTAGCCACACTCGCAGCTGAATGAGGCTCCCTCCTGTCAGATGGAGGGAGTAAATACAGCGGCAAGCTTTGGGACAAACTCCCCTCTCTCCGGCAGAAACAAGAAATGCCGTAACTGTATGTAACAACGGTTTCAAATCCGCATCTCTTAGACAAAAAATGTAAATTAATAACTCAAATAAAACTCCAAACATCTTTCATTGTGTTACTTTTTTGTAAAGCTCTTTTAGTTTAAACCTGATGTTTATAAGCTTCTTAGTTTTTGCAACAGTCTGTAAATATACACAACTTTATAATAAATGCACACATTTACCTTTTTCTAGACTAAACACAGGTATGATCCTAAGTTAAAAAAATATGAGGTTATCATGAGGTTGTTAACATCGCAATTTATCAGTGGATGTTTGCTGGAACTACTTGTAAACAGCGTGTTTCCTGATGGACACACACAGCGTGACTCCGGTCAGGTAAGACCGGTCTCAAGTCAGCACCGATGCAGACCATGGATGTATAATAGAGTGGCGAAGTCACGCCCATCTACTTCCGCCCCATGGGACCTTATTTCGGAAAAATAATGTATTGAAGTCAATGGAGAGAGAAAACTTATCTTTCGATCCCGTTTGAATTGTGCCATGAATTACACATATGATGTTTGTCAATCTTAAAAAATCATTTCCATGTAAAAAAAGTCACAGTTTGTCGTAAAACTGTTGAAATATAAGACTATGAAAAATACGCAACTAGAAAGACTACAAATCCCAGAGTCGCGTAAGTGATGTCACAATTGTTTTCCTCCACTAAGAGATAGCTAAGATCAGCGCCATATAGATATAATCTATCTATATGGCGCTGGCTAAGATAAGATAACTTTCACAAGATGCCTGTGTGCTTAGTACCAGGTTGTTATCATACCAGCAATGGGTCTTGCTCGTTCTTTCGCTTCCCGTCTGATGAAAGGACCAGGAGTGTCTGGATCAAGCTAGCTAGTAGCTAGCACGTTAGTTAGCATTACAGCCTTGTCATTTTTATTAGCCTTAACATGAAGTAACATGAAGTAACCCAAAATGTTAAACAGTAAGAGTAGTAGTCATATTTCGTGAACCCTTTGAATAGTACTGTCACCGGTGTGATCATTCTATAATACACAATTTAAGCCCGGGGGAGAAATGCTAACGCTAGCATCGGCACTCTTCTCTACTTCATGCTATCTGCACAAATGGTTGACATTAAACATTAAAACGACCAGGCAGTTCAGAGAGAATCAAAGGAAGGCAGGCAGGCAGCTTTGCATGACATTCTTCAGGACGTGTTTCATTGTGGTGATGGCAGAGGTGGGAGTAAGTCCTACATGTGCAAGTCATGAGCAAGTCTCAAGTCTTGACCTACAAGTATCAAGCAAGTCCCAAGTCACTGTGGTGAGAGTCAAGCAAGTCAAGTCAAGTCATTGCTCAGGTCAAGCAAGTCAAGTCAAGTCAAGTCATACAAAATTCTGATGAATAAGCCCAGTTTCTGCATTTAAATCAGTTAAAAGACAGTGGTTATGAAAATGGATTCAACCCACACTATGATCTTCATTACATACACAGTTAATCATTTGAAATCTAATTTAGACCGATGACAATCATATCAGATTCATATTAACCCTAGAACTGCAGACAATATAGCTAGGACTCAATCAAAAAGTCTGTTCAAAAAGGCAGAATTCCAGGTAAGAAAATCATATATGGCATTTGCCATTACACATATTTAATTTAAACTTCTGTTAACACTAGAACCGCCAACAGCGTCAGCACCTACATAGATATCATTTTCAAATCATTTAATTTGTTCCTCTTCATAATTTCCTTATAAACTAAGTAGGACGATTTAAAACTCAGTTAATTGGGTTAATTTAGAAATTGCTTCAGTTTATCATCATAACAGATCAAAAAGTTCAGATTCATTTTACAATAAATCAAGGAATGATGCACTTCTACAAACAAAAACAACATAATTAAAACATTTAAACAAACTACTAAAAGTAGATGAACTACATTATTCAAAAGTTTACAGTAACTTCTGATAATAACACAGGGGAAATAAACGAGGCATCTCTTTTCCTCTCTCTCCCTCTCCTGACAGCCCGTCAGTATCAGGGTTAGTACAAATCAATCCCTTGGAGGTTCTAGTGTTCATTTACCGTTTTGTCTTCTCTTTGCAATGCTTAATCGATTTGAAACCAAGTCTAACGTAGCTTAAACTTAACGTTAGCTTTCTGTGGGGTTTTTTGTAGTGACGAATGAAGTTGGATGTTGTGGTGGTCGTGTCACTGATCTTTATGCTGCAGACCCTGCATACCGCTGTTCTCTTCTTATTAGCGTCATCGACAACATAGTCCTTAGCCGCGTTCACACCAAGTACTTTCCTGTACTTAGTTCCGGCACTAATGGCGCGTTTCCACTACACGGCCTCGCTCGGCCTCGCTCGGTATGGCTAGGCCTCGTTAGGACTGGCTCACTTTATGGCGCATTTCCATTACAGTTTAGGAACTGGGGTAGTATCGTAGTATCTATAGTAACGCAGTGTAGGCGGAGCCGTGACGTCATCTTCAATGAGAACCCCAGAAAAACAACACAGCCGTTAGCTGTTAGCACTCAGAGCTCACAGCTCCTCATATATGTTCAGAAACTAGACAAAAGTTAAACAAGTACAAACCACAGACTGCCTGTGTCATGGCGAATACAGTCGCTGCTTTATTTATGTCTGTATAGGCCGTTGTTGTGAGTGTGGCCGGTCGGAGCATATACTGCGTTAGCTTAGCCAATCTCCATTTAGAAAACACACGCATTTTAAAAGGTTTTTCGCCTGCCGTCTGTCTGCAGACTTGACAAAGCATTAATTCATGGTTTTTACTAACCGGTATCAGTATGTTGTTACTTCGGCATC